CGGGTTGGGCTCTCGGGCTCTGCGTCTGTCCTCTCTCTCTCTGGTCTGGCTCTGGCTCTTTTCTTTCTCTTTCTCTTCTCATGTCTGTCTTTGTCCTCTTCTCTGTCTCTGTCTCTGTCTCTGTCTCTGTCTGTCTGTCTGTCTCTGTCTGTCTCTCTGTCTCTGTCTCTCTCTCTCTCTCTCTCTCTCTCTCTCTCTCTCTCTCTCTCTCTCTCTCTCTCTCTCTCTCTCTCTCTCTCCTCTCTTCTCTCTCTCTCTCCCTCTCTCTGTCTCTCTCTGTTTGTTTTCCTGTTTGTTTATTTGTTAATTTTTGTTTTTATGAGTGGGTGTAATTATCATATCTTTGCAATTATCCATCTAACCTGATTATCACATCTTGATCAGAATTGCGTAATCGGAGGATAGAGTGTAATGAAACAGTCATCTTGCATCGTGTGATTAATCAGCACCAGTCATACATTCCCTGCATCAGCTTACGAGAACGTGTCATAGGTCTTCGCAGTCGCTTGGCATGCACTGCGTCGTGTCACTGACTGTCATGAAGTCTTCTGGTGTCTGTGATTGTTGTTCTTTTTCTTTTGAGGCTGGGCGTGGGCGTGTGTTAGAGGGTTGGTGTGTATTATGGCGTTGACACTCGGCCGGTTTGTCAAAATTGTGCGACGCCCGACCCAACGAGTATTCACTATACGGACATGTATATACAAAGAAATAAATTCATATATATCAGTCTAGACATGCATATCTACCATATAGATAGATAGATGAATGTGTGCGTATCTGGTGAATAGAAAGATGTGCATTTATTTCTGTGTATATGCATGTCTGTATTTACGGGTATTCATGGGGTCGGGCCTCGCACAGTTAAAAAAAACTGGCCTATTATTGTAATGAAAATGGTGTGCCTCGTCGACCTTTTCACTATTTTGGGAATTGATGTAACCAGTTGTGTTGAATTCTGATGCAGTATTGTAATATATATATATATATATATATATATATATATATATATATATATATATATATATATATATATATGTGTGTGTGTGTGTGGTGTGTGTGTGTGTGTGTGTGTGTGTGTGTGTGTGTGTGTGTGTGTGTGTGTGTGTGTGTGTGTGTGTGTGTGTGTGTGTGTATGTATGATATATGGTATAAATATATGTATATATATAATATATATATATATATATATATATATATATATATATATATATATATATATATTATATATATCGCCTGTCCTTCCCCGCCCCTCGTGCCGCCAGAACCGCCCCCCTCCTCCCCGTAACGGCGTCGCGGGCGGGCCTCATCCGCGCCGCCCGCCGCCACCACCTCATCCGTCTCCCTTTCGCGCTTCGCAAGTCGGTTAATTGGGTCGCGAGGTCGCCGTATCCGGACCCCCTTCAGGCTGGGAGGAACCGCGGGGGGGGGGGGGGGGGGGGGGGGGGGGCTGGTTGGGTTGTGCTGGGTGATTGGGTCGGATTGGGTTGGATTGGTGGCTTGGCTTGGCTTGGTCATGGCGCGGGGGGTTGTTATTATTATGGTTGCTGTTATTGTCGTTTGATGTTATTGTTATCGTCATCTTCATCATTATCATTATCGTTATCGCTATCGTTATCGTTATCGTTATTCATTCATCATCACCATCATCATCATATTATCATTAACATCATCATCTCCATCAACATCACCAATCATCATCACCATCAACATCATCATCATCTCCATCATCATCATCATCATCATGCATCTCATTCATCATCACCATCAATCATTCATCATCCATCATCATCACCATCATCATCCCATCACATCATCATACCATCATCATAAAGGTTAAACAACAGTACTTTAAGTTCAAGTTTTGATAATTTAGGGTCCTGCCACGCCCTACAAGTGGTAAGATTTAATAGATAAGGAATGAATAGGAGAATATAGATAAATGTTTTTTTTTCTTTCTTTCTTTTTTAATTCGTGCATGTGTTTTGACTGAATGACCTCGGTGCAAGTATGTGTGTTCTGGGCGGGATGGGTCTGTGTTGTGTGTGTGTGTGTGTGTGTGTGTGTGTGTGTGTGTGTGTGTGTTGTTGTGTGTGTGTGTGTGTTGTTGTGTGTGTGTGTGTTGTGTTGTGAAATTATCTGTTTGTGTGTTGTGGTGTTTGTTTACATTGTTTTTTGCCGTTAATATATAGGGGTATGCATGTGTGTGTCCTTTGTCTGGTGTAGGGTTGTGTGTGGTGTGTGTTGCGTGTGTGTGTATGTGTGTGCGTCAGGATGTAGCGAAGTTTGTATGTGTGCGTATGTGTTTGTCTGTATGTGTGTCTGTGTGTATGTGCGTGTGTGTGTATTTGTATGTGTGTATGTGCGTGTGTGTATGTGTGCGTGTGTGTGTCTGATGTTGTGTGTATGTGGCATGTGTTATATGTGTGTGTGTGTGTGATGTATGCGTATGTGTTTGTCTGTATGTTTGTGTGTCTGTGTGTATGTGCGTGTGTGTATGTGTGCGTCAGGATGTAGCGACGAGCTGGCACGGGCTGAGTGTCTAGTTACATCCTCCAGTAATTGGGTTTATTGTTGCTCATGAGGAAGAGACGGGATGTGGTGGCAGGGAATTTTTTCTGTCATTTTTTTTTCATATTCTGTTTATATTCGTGTTTATTTTTCGAGTTATTTGGTGTGTGTGTCATTGGGCGCGTTGCGTGTATTTTGAAGTTATTCGTCGCATTTCCGCTATGCATTGCAAAAAAAGCAAAGAGAAACAAAAAAAACATCGAGACAGACAGATAGACAGGAAGACAGACAGGAAGATAGATAGATAGACAGATAGAGACACAGACAGACAGACAGACAGCAGGGACAGAAGCAGACTAACAGATATATGCAGAAATAATGAGATAAAGAAAGAGGGAGATAGACGGACAGAGGCAGACAGATAGACAGACAGATAGACAGACAGATAGACAGATAGACAGACATATAAACAGTCAGATAGACAGACAGATAGACAGACATATAAACAGTCAGAACGACAGAAAGAGAGAGAGAAGAGAGAGAGATAGATAGACAGACAGACAGACAGAGAGAGACAGAGAGAGAAGAGAAGAAAGAAAGAAAGAAAGAAAGAAAAGAAACAGAAAGAGAGAAAGAAAGAAAGAGAGAGACGGAGAGAAAGATGTACAGTACATGGATTGCGAAAGCTGGAAGGCAAGCGTACCCTCATCCACCTCGTTCGCCAAGCACATTCGAGGTTCTTAAGGATGTTGCGTGTGTCAAATGGGTTCGTGCAGTGTGCAATGGCATAATGTTGCAGAGATATTTCAGCTGATGACACTTGCTAGGTGTCACGGCTGATTAGAGAAGATTCGCAGATGTGGCTTGACTGATGATTGGGGGCGGGGTGGGGAAGGGGGGAGGAGGGGGGGGTAGAAGAGGGGAGGGACTGGGGAAGGGTTTATAGGGGGTGGGTAGGGAGGGTGGAGGGAGGGAGGGTTATGGGGGGATTGGGTGGGGGGTGGGGGGGGGAAGGAGGGAGGGGTTGGGGGTCTTGGGTGGGGGTGTTTGGTGGGGGGGGGAAGGGAAGGGGTTGGGAAAAGAGTTATAGGGTGTACATGACTAAGCTTCGTCTGTCTCGCTCCATGATGGCCATTACACGCCGCCCGTGCCCTGTGACATGACCCCGTTGACCCTGGAGGGACAAGGAACAGCTTCTGTCCCTTTGGGGTGAGCGGTGTTGACTTATATGATTGCTAAGTTTTTTTTTCTTTCTTTCTCTGGTTCCCTCTCTCTCTATCTCCCTCTCCCTCCCTCCCTCCCTCCCTCCTCCCTCCCTCCTCGCTACTCCTCCTTTCCCCCTTCTCTCTCTCCTCTCTATTTCTATCTATCCTATCTATCTATCTTCTCTCTCTATCTCTCTCTCTCTCTCTCTCTCTCTCTCTCTCTCTCTCTCTCTCTCTCTCTCTCTCTCTCTCTCTCTCTCTCTCTCCTCTCTCTCTCTCTCTCTCTCTCTCTCATCCCTCTCTCTCTCTCTCTCTCTCTCTCTCTCTCTCTCTCTCTCTTCTCTCTCTCTCTCTCTCTCTCTCTCTCTCTCTCTCATTCTGTCTTCCTCTCTCCCTCCTCTCTCTCCGCCTCCCTCTCCTTCTCTCTCTTTTAAAACTTTATGGAAGTTCCATTCTATTTTTTCTTCGTTTCCCGCACAAGACGGATGGATGACACGGCGCCTCGAGAGGGAGTTGGAAAATAAAACAAAAGCAAAAAACAAAAAAAAAACGAAGACCGGGAAGAAAAACAAAAGACGAGAGGGCGCGCAGGTGTTGCCTTCGAATTATAACGATGTCGCGGAATACGAAAGGAAGGGCGGGTGGGAGGGGAGGGGGTGGGGGGGGTGGGGGCGGAGTCTCTTTGGAGAGGCTTCTCGACGTAAATGGGTTTCATCTGTATATATATATATATATATATATATATATATATATATATATATATATATATATATATATATATATATATATATTTAAGAAAATATATATGTATGTATGTAATTATGTATGTATATATGTATGTATATATGTACGTTTGTAGATATTTAAATATGTATATGTGCTTTTGCATTTCTTTTTATTTTCTTCCCCATTTCTTTATTGTTCATGATAATTTAAAAAATTGTTTCACATTTCAAAACCTGTTTATATATTAATTTTGACCCTCCGAATGACACAATAAACCCGAATAACCTCGCACTCTTTACTCGTGCAATATCGCGACGCCATTGAGCTCTGTGCAACGAAGGGGCAAGTGGGACGCGAAACCAAGCATGCAATGAAGTGATTCGACACTAAACTTCTGAATAATAAATTATTGAATTTGTTGATGAAATACATTTCTTTTTGTTTTCCTTTTTTTTTGTTTGTTTTATTGCTTTGTGTTTTGTTGTTGTTATTACTGATTATTGTTGTTGTACTGATTCCCCCGTGTATAATGTTGTTCCTCTCACCCCTCTCTCACACTAGCTCTTAGAGGGACTCCTCGCGAAAAAGGTTAGTTGCACCCCCGGCTCCCCCCTTCCCCCCTCCCCCCTCGTGGTGGAGAAGGAAGGCCGTGGTTATCTTGTGTTGGTGATTTGGTGGAGGAGGGGCTTGGTGGAGGAAGGTGGGGTGGTAAGGTCATGTCTTTGACCTTATTTTCGGTCCCTCCTCCTCCGAGTGTAAATGGATGGATGTGGTGTGGATTTGGTGGTGTGCTCCACCCCTTCCACCCCCTCCCTGCTTCCCCTCACCCCCCTCCCTCCTTCCTTCATCCCCTCTCAGATTTTGAGATTTTTTTGTTTATTAAATGTTGATGTCAGAGATACGTGGGATTGATTTTTATTTTTTCCCCCATTTTCAATTCTGCACTTCTTTTTTTTCTTCGATTTTCTTTAATCTTGTTTTCTACTTTTTTGTGTCTAAACTTTCTCTTTGTTCTTTTCCCCCATTTTTCTTCCTTTTTTACCCTCTGACTCCTTCCAGTACGTGAGATTTTCCTCTATTTTTTCTTTTCTTTTATTGTTTGTTCGGTGTTTAAATCAAGCAAACAAATCTTCATAAATTTAACAACAATGTAGTAGACCCCCCCCCTCCATCCCCATGCCCCCTACACCAAAATGAATGAATGGGATGAGTTTAGATATTTTTTTAGAGAACCGTGACTTTTTAACCAATGGTTCCATCACATTTTTTCACGTTCTTTCCAGAACACGATTTTCATTTATTTTCATGAGTTTATATACATGTCTAGACAGTAGTTTATCCGTTCTGTTTAAGCTGGACATATTTACATTCCTTTTAGAATAAGAAATCTCAATTTATGCTCGTATCTCCCCGACAGAGGTGGCTGGACCCGCTCAAACCCGTGAAGAAACAGCTGCGCATCAGGACAAAGAGTCTGGGAACATGTGAGTATCTGGGGCCTGTTTGAGGTTCTCGGCGAAGGGTTAATGTTGATTGTGGCTTTGTTTTGTTTCTAAGTGTATCGTGGCATGTTTGTATCGTGTGGGTTTGTTGTATTTGGGTAGGTTTTTATTTTTGGTTAGATTTTGTGTGTGTGAGTGTGTTTGTCGTTTGTGTGTTGTGTGTGTGTGTGTGTGTGTGTGTGTGTGTGTGTGTGTGTGTGTGTGTGTGTGTGTGTGTGTGTGTGTGTGTGTGTGTGTGTGTTTTTGTGTGTGTGTGTGTCTATGTTTATGTGTATGTACGTGTATGGGTGATTTCAGTTGTTTTTCAAAGATATTTTGGTATTTGAAGTATTTGATTATTAATAATAAATAATAACAAAATAATGAAGGTATACGCCATGTAAGTATAATAAAAAAGGTACAAACACAGGTCACATTTGGTCATGTCAGATGCTCTAGTACAAGTACAGAGAGGATACTCCCCTGTGCCGCTGCTTCCCTTAAGAGTGAGAAAGTAGCCATTCCGGGGTTTTAGGGCAGGAATGCATCTTCGTCTCATAAACCGAACGGGCAGCCGGAACGTGTGAAGCATGTCTTACGGTCATTTCGTTCTTTCGGTTTAGGGGAAGCCGGATAAAGGAGGAAACTGGCAGATATGTATCTGTTATTACGGTTGAATGGGGGTAATGCTATCGGATGAATGGGGTACTGTCAGCTAGAATGGGATGTTCCCGGTTAGATTATTTATTTCTGGTCGAATGGGGTACTGTCAGCTAGAATGGGATGTTCCCGATGAGATTGTGATTATTTCTGGTTGGATAGGGGTATTGCCGGTTAAATGGGGATCGGTTATGGACATTGCCGGTTAATTGGAGGCCGGTTAGGGATATTGCCGGTTAATTGGAGGCCGGTTAGGGATATTGCCGGTTAAATGGGGGCCGGTTAGGGATATTGCCGGTTGAATTGGATATTGCTGGGTGAATAGGGGTAATGCCGGTTAAATGGGCATATTCACGGTTGAATGGGATGCTGCAGGTTCAATGGAGATCGTCACCATCATCAGCCCATAACCTGTTCGGGTCGTAGGGTCACTGTTGCACTGTCAAAAAAGAAGGCTGCTGTGGTTTGGCCATGGAACACTTCAGAAGGAAATACAGTAATGGAAAGCTTAGTAAAAGGAATACGATCAAGAGACAGGCCAAGAAAGCAATTGGATAGTTAAAGAGTGGAGTAGTATGGAGGTTAAAGATCTACAAGAAAAGAAAAAGAAAAAAAAAACAAAAAAAAAAAAACAAGAAGGAATGGGGATGTAAGCTACTTCGGTGCCCCCCACGCCTGAAATAAGGAATGGAGATTTAAGCTATGAAATAAGGAGAGTGGCGCTTGAATGAGGTTGCTGTAGGGGCGAAATTGGGATATTGCCGGTTAAATGGAGGGATACAGCAAGTTTGAATAGGGATATTGCCGGTTAAATGAACATGTTGCCGGATACGGATCTGTTGGAGCGGTTAAATGCGGAATCCTCGTTACGGCAACGCGATCTCTCCGATATGGCTTTTGCTAGAGGAATTTTATTGGCCGAGTTAACGTTTATTATTGGAGCAGATGTTGCTTGTGTGGAAGGGAGGGAGTGAGGGGGGGGATGTTCTTGGGAGTGAGGGTGTTTGGGAGGGGAGTGAGGGTGTTCTTGGGAGGGGAGTGAGGTGTTCTTTGGGAGGGGAGTGAGGGTGTTCTTGGATGTCTTGGGAGGGGAGTGAGGGTGTTCTTGGAGGGAGTGAGGGTGTTCTTTGATGTTCTTGGGAGAGGAGTGAGGGTGTTCTTGGGAGGGAGTGAGGGTGTTCTTGGGAGGGGAGTGAGGGTGTTCTTGGAGGGGAGTGAGGGTGTTCTTGGGAGGGGAGTGAGGGTGTTCTTGGGAGGGGAGTGGGTGTTCTTGGAGGGGAGTGGAGGGGAGTGAGGGTGTTCTTGGGAGGGGAGTGAGGGTGTTCTTGGGAGGGAGTGAGGGTGTTCTTGGGAGGGGAGTGAGGGGGTGTTCTTGGAGGGGAGTGAGGGTGTTCTTGGGGAGGGGAGTGAGGGTATGTTCTTACTCCTTCCTCGCGCGTTTTTTGTTTGATTTTTTCTCTCTCTTATTCGGAATAAACATTCCCTAGTGGTGGCTTATTTAATACTTTAGAGATATAAAATCGCTCTGGAGGATTGGCGTACCCTGGGCGAGAGAGAGAGAGAGAGAGAGAGAGAGAGAGAGAGAGAGAGAGAGAGAGAGAGAGAGAGAGAGAGAGAGAGAAGAGAGAGAGAGAGAGAGAGAGAGAGAGAGAGCGAGAGAGGGAGAGGGAGAGGGAGAGGGAGAGAGAGAGAGAGGAGAGAGGAGAGAGAGAGAGGGAGAGAGGAGAGAGAGGGAGAGGAGAGGGAGAGAGAGAGAGAGAGAGAGAGAGGAGAGAGAGAGAGAGAGAGAGAGAGAGAGAGGAGAGAGAAAGAGAGAGAGAGAAGAGAGAGAGAGAGAGAGAGAGAGAGAGAGAGAGAGAGAGAGAGAGAGAGAGGAGAGAGAGAGAGAGGAAGAGAGAGAGAGAGAGAGAGAGAAAGAAAAAGAGAGGGAGGGAGAGAGAAAAAGAAAACGAAAAAGAAGAAAAAAAGAGAGAAAGAGAAAGAGAGAGGAAGAGAGAGAGAGAGCGCGCTCGTTGATTTAGGCACCTGCAATGCGCCCCCACCAGTCCACCACCTCGATTGACGGCGGGTGGCGGCGGCGGCGGCGGTGGCGGCGGCGGAGGCGGCTGGATGCAAGACATGTGTCGGAGGCTCATGACTGATGCAAGGGTCAATTCGGGCGCCTGAAATGCTGAAGTGGCCTCGTGGGACGGGACTGAGGATGAGGAAAGAATGGCGCTTCTTTGAGGGCAATTTTATTATTATTTTTGGGGTGAAGGTGAGGGGAAATTTGAACTTTTTTTTAGGGACTCCTCTATAAAAAAAAAAAAAAAAAAATGATATGAGATAAAAAGGAACGTAACGTTTCGAGATCGATGCAAAGAGATCTTTGTGTCCACGTTATTGCGTTTGTGTTTAGCATTTTTTGAAAGAAAAAAAAAATGGGAATGATGGCCTGAAAACAGCGTATTTTGGGATAATTTAGGTTATTTTAGGGCTGGGGACGCTATAAAGATAGCCTGATCTTGGTGCAGTTTGGTTTGCTTGGGAGATGAGGATGAAGCTTAGATAAAGATTTTTGAAGACTTTCTTTTTTTGCTTAGTTTGGGAATGGCGACGGGACAAAAATAGAATTTTTGGAATCTTCTTATTATTGTTTGATTGATCTTATTCTTATTCTTATTCTGATCCTTATTGTTGTTATTATTATTATTATTATTATTATTATTATTATTATTATTATTATTATTATTATTATTAATTATCATTTATCATTTTTATTATGATTGTTAGTATTATTATTGTTAGTATCATTTCATTATTATTGTTGTTATTATCTTCTACTTTCTTCTTCTTCATATTATTATCGTTGTCTGTATTATTATATTTATCATTGCTATTGCTACTGGTGTTGTAATAAATAGATGAAAGATGAAAGGCGAAGCAGAATGCGTTTTACGAAAAAAAGAAGAAAAAACCTTTACACTCGTTATTGAGGCAGACGACAAGTTGAACGCATTGTGGAGCTCGACAAGAGGGAGAATTTATGTTGAAATGCCACCAACGCTTTGTACTCCAGCTCACAATAACATTCTTTTTTATGTTTCTTCTTCTGCTCACAATGACATTCTTTTTGTTTGTTTGTTTCTTCTTCTTTTCTTCTTTTTTGGCACGTTGAGGAATCGGGTGGAGGGTTTTCAAAAGGGGAACGTACAGGGGAGGGGGGGGACCGAACTGGACAGCCAGACACTTGAGGGGAGAGATTCATGAGAGGTTCACGAGTGATTCACGAGAGAAACACAAGAGATTCACGAGAGATTCACGGCGGAGAGTCAGAGGAGGAAAGTGAGAATGATGATGCGCTGGCGTTTCCGATTCTCCGGAGGGAAGGAGGGAGGGAAGGGATGGAGGAAGGGAGTGAGGAGGGAAGGGGGAAGGAGGGAGGGAGGGAGGGAAGGGAGGAAGGAGGGAGGGAGAAATAGAGGAAAAGAGGGAGGTGGAGAAGGATTTTTGGGTGTATATTTGGGGATGTGTTTTCACACAGACAAACACGTATGCTCGCACGCACCCACCCACACACACACACACACACACACACACACACACACACACACACACACACACACACACACACACACACACACACACACACACACACACACACACACACACACACACATATATATCAATCTGTTTATTACTGTCCAAATTTTATTAGAAATAGATATTTTGTTAAGTATTACCAACACCAATCTGTTTATTACTGTCCAAATTCATCCAAAGATAAACACATTTTACACATTTTTTGCGTATTACCAGCGTCATACCTGGTAACCGGATTCATGAATGGCTTTTCTGAATCCTGGATTTACGGGAAGGTGTTTTGCGAGGCACTGCCGGACGTTTGGGGTCGGAAGGGAGAAAGCGCCGTCGGAAGAAGGCCGGTAAGAGTTGCCCCCACGGGAGACGAGGTCAATATTTTAGTGAGTTCGCGTGGGGGGAGCTTGCGAGGTTTTTTGGGGGGTGGGGGGGGGGGATGGAGGGGGAGTGGGGGGGGCAGGCGTATTGTATTGATTTTTGTTATTTGATTATTGGCTTCGTGTTGTGTATTTACGGAATATGGCAACGCTTATGGAAGGCACGAGATTGTAGTTAGAAATGTAGGAATCCGTCCCTCAAAAAGAAAAAGAAAAGAACAAAGGAAAAAAATATATAAGATAGATAGATAAGGATACTATAGTAAAAGGCGTTGAAAGTAGGTGAATGAAGAGGAAACCGAGAACATTCGTGAGATAAAGGCATGCAAAGCAGAGACCGATAAGATACATCTAAAAAGGTATTTGAAACTGAGACGAAAGAGATTCGTAAGGAAAAGATCAATAAAGTAGAGACCAAGAAGACACATACCAATCAGATACGTAAGAAAGAGAGGATTAAGACAGACACCAATAAAAATCAAACAGGGAAGAAAATATCCGAGTAAAGTAGAGACCAAGAAGACACATACCAGTCAGATACGTAAGAAAGAGAGGATTAAAACAGACAATTAAAATCAAACAGGAAAAAATATCCGAGCAAAGATGAACAAGACGTTTTCAGAAAGACACTTCCAAGGCAAGTCCAGGGAGTCCAGCGAGTCCTCTCAAAGACCGGACCCGAACGCCACCCTCGTCCATGATTTACGCGAACGCCGACCCTTCCGTGCATGGGGAGCTTTCGAGTTTAAGATTTGTTTTTATTTTTCTCTATCTCTCTGTCTGTCTTCTCTCTCTTCTCTCTCCTCTCTCTCTCTCTCTCTCTCTCTCTCTCTCTCTCTCTCTCTCTCTTCTCTCTCTCTCTCTCTCTCTCTCTCTCTCTCTCTCTCTCTCTCTCTCTCTCTCTCTCTCTCTCTCTCTCTCTCTCTCTCTCTCTCTCTCTCTCTCTCTCTCTCTCTCTCTCTCTCTTTGATACATGGTATGGAGAGCAACAGGTGGGATTTTGCAGGTGGGAGGAGAATTACCCTTTGTGGGGGGAGTGAGATAGTATGTGAATGAGTAAGTGAGTGAGTGAGTGATGAGTGTAGTGGGTGGGTGGATGGGTGGATGGTGGATGGATGGATGGAGTGGATGGTGGATGGTGGAGTGTGAGTGTTGTGTGTATGTGTGTATGTGTTGTGTGTGTGTGTGTGTGTGTGTGTGTGTGTGTGTGTGTGTGTGTGTGTGTGTGTGTGTGTGTGTGTGTGTGTGTGTTGTTGTGTGTGTGAGAGAGATGAGAGAGAGAGAGAGAGAGAGAGAGAGAGAGAGAGAGAGAAGAGAGAGAGAAATTCAATCACACGCAAAATCAGAGAGGAGGGAGAAAGTACAGAAATAGTCGGAAGACAAAGTTAGGTAAGTAACTTCGGTTCCACTTTTAAGAATTTGCTCTTTTCGGTCCGAAGGAGATTGCGAAAGCGAGAGAGGGAGAGAGAGGGAGGGAAGCAGGGAGAGAGGAAGGGAGAAAGGGGGAGGAGAAAAAGAGGAGAGGAGAAAAGGATGGAAGAAAAGAGGGAGGGAGGGAAGAAAAGGAGTTGGAAAGAAGAAAGGAGGGAGCGAGGGAAGAAGAGAGGGAGAGAGGTAGAAAGAGAGAGAGGGAGGGAGAAAGAGAGAGAAAAGAGAGAGAGAGGAGAGAGAGAGAGAGAGAGAGAGAGATGGAGAGGAGAGAAGGAGGGAGGAAGGGATGAATGGATGTACGAATGGGTGGATGGATGGATACAGAGACAGAAATAGAAATAGAGGGACCGAGAGACAAAGAGAGACAGAGACAGGGAGGAGAGGAGGAAGGAGAGAGGAGCCTGCAGTGCCCAACACCCCGGGGACTCGCTCTCTACTGCGCGTGATCAAATCTTATAAATGTAAGATCCGGGCACCTGAGCTCTCCCGTGTTTATCTGCCTGCATCTCCCTCCCTCCCGCCCTCTTTCTCTCTCTTTATCCAGCTGTCTGTATGTCTATCTGTCTGTCTGTCTGTCTGTCTGTCTATCCATCTATCTGTCAGTATATTTGCCTGTCTGTCGATCTATATGTGTATCTATCTCTCTGTCCATCGATATATATATATATATATATATATATATATATATATATATATATATATATATATATATATATATATATATATATATAATGCTTATTTGCATACATACGTTCATACATACATACATATACATACATACATACATACATCATACATACATACATACATACATACACATACATACATACATAATACATACATACATACACATACATAAGCATGAATGCATACATACCTACGTACATACAACCATACATATACATATATCTATCTAACTCTTCCTTTATCTCCGCCTCCCTTCCCCTCTCCCCTCTGCCTCCCTTTTCACTTCTCTGTCTCCCTTTTCCTCTCCCCTCTGCCTCTCCATTATTCTCCCCTCTGCCTCCCTTTTCACTTCTTTGTCTCCCTTCCCCTCTCCCCTCTGCCTCCCTTTTTCTCTCCCCTCTACCTCCCCTTTATTCTCCCGTCTTCCTCCCTTCTACTCTCCCTCCTTTCTCTCCTCTCTGCCTCCCTTCTCTTCGCCCTGTGCCTCCCTTCTATCCCTTCTCCTCTCCCCTCTGCTTCCCGTCTATTCTCCTTTCTGCCTCCCTTCTCCTCTCCCCCTTTGCCTCCCTTTTCTCTCCCCTTTGTCTCTTTCTACTCACCCCTCTCCCTCCCTTCTCTCCCCTCTGCCTCCCTTCTCCCCTCCCCTCCGCCTCCCTTCTCCTCTCCCCTCTGCCTCCATTCTGTCTCGCTTTTTATCTCCTTTTATCTCCCCTTTCCTCTCTTTTTATCTCCCCTCTGCCTTATTTCTGTCTCTCCTCTCCTCTCCCCTTTGCCTCTCTTCTCTTCTCGATTTTGCTTCTCTTTTCTCCCCTCTGCCTCCCCTCTCTTCTCCCTTCTGCCTCCCTTTCTCTCTCCCTCTGCCTCCCCTCTCTTCTCCCCCTCCCTTTTCTCTCCCCTCTCCTCTTGAGACTGGCGGGAAGGGAGGATCGCTGCCGGGGTTGACTGGCTTAGAAAAAGACGGCGGTGGATCAAGTAACTAAATTTAGTCCTGGCTTTGGGGTGTCAACCAGCGTTAATGTCGTACTTTTTTTTTTTTTGTATTTGACTTTAGTTTGTGTATTTTTTTATTTTATTTTATTTATTTATTTATTTTATTTTTTATTTATTTTTTTTTTTTTGGGGGGGGGGTGAGAGAGGCGTTCGTGGTCGGGGTTAAATTTGGTTGTCTTGGTTGATTGTCTTGTGTTTTTTTTTTTTTTGTGGGGTGATAGGGGGAGGAAACAAAGGATTATGAGAGAGAGAGGAAGGGATGTGATAGAGAGAGAGAGAGAGTGAGAGAGAGCCGAGAGCGAGAGAGAGAGCGAGAGCGAGAGCGAGAGCGAGAGAGAGAGGAGAGAGAGAGAGAGAGAGAGAGAGAGAGAAAGAGAGATGGACAGACAAACAGATAACGAAAGAGCATTTGAAAGAGATTCAAAGCCAGAAGGGGGAGCAGACACGTAAATAAACACAGAAAAGGAACAACAAAAAGACCCCCAAAAATATAATGAAATAAAAACAATACAATGGCAGCCTTTAGGGGCGTGGCTTAATTTAGGACTGGCCCTTCCCTGTGTAATTGTCTAGACATAAGAGGGTTACGATGGCCCGGCTTATTGGAGGCTTCTCTGGCATTCATTTATTTGCTTTTTTATAATTTCTTTATTTCCCGTTTATGAGTCGTTGATATTGTTGTTATTTTCAGCGTTTTTTTTGAGGGGGGGGGGAAGGGTTACGGCTCTTTCGTGGATTGCATATGCTGTGTCTATTGTGTGTGTGTTTTTTGTTTTCGTTTTTGCTTTGTCTTTCTCTATGGGCGTGTCTATTTTCGTCGTCGTAATCTTCCTTTCTTCTTCTTAACAGCAACATTACCAACTTGTCTCCTTCCTCTACTTCTTTTTCTTGTTCTTCTACTATTACCCTAGTATAATTATGATGTGATGATGGATATAAACTAATAATAATGCTGAAAAACTAATGATATAATGTTAAAAAATCATAATGATAATGATGATAATAATGATTAGGATAATGATTATGATTAATAAATAATGATATGATGATAGTATTAGTATTATTATAGTATCGATATTGATTTTTTCGATGTTGTGATATGTTTATAAAGATCCAAAGTTATAGAGGTACATTTTCCGACGTATACAATAAGAGTAATAAAGTTATACGTTAATATTGTCTTTATATAGGCGTGTATTGTGTAAAGCGAATGTGGCATATCCTTTATATATACCTGTGTTGAAGGCATATTTATCATATTATTTTATATGCTTAGAGGACTGACGCCTTAAAATAAATCGCGTTTTTATTTCTAAGATTCCTGTTTATTTCTCTCGCCAACTGCCCTAACTCACGCCCTCTTCTGCGTCTCCTTCAGGTGGTCTTCCGGTCCTCTACTTCCGGGTGAAGTTCTGGGTGAGCGACCCGGGCAAGCTGGCGGAGGAATACACGCGCTACCACGTGTTCCTGCAGCTTCGGCGGGATGTGTTGGAAGGGCGCCTGTCGACCCCGCCCTCCACGGCTGCCCTGCTCGCCTCCTACGCCCTGCAGTGTGAGTTCGTAGGGAGGGTTGATTTTATTTTATTTTTTTTTATTTTTTTTATTTTTTAAGTGGTATTATTTTATTTTTCATTTTTTAGATTATTTGTTTACTTATGTATCAGTTGATTCCTTAATTTGTTGATTTAGTTTTTTAGATATTCATTGAGTTTAAGGTTTTAGCAGTGCAGTAAACTGTGTTTGTTTGTGGCTGTTATTTATTTCTTTTGTAGTTGGAGTTATGATGTATCCATTGATATTTTATATTTATTTATTGCGTATATCACTCATATATTTAATAAGAAATGTGACGGAAGTGTTACCCCTTTCAGTCACTTTTATTGCCCTCTACGTTTTATTTTCACGTACATATTTTTCTTGTGTCTTCGTATGACTTATCCAATTTCACCCCAAGTCGTCGGCCCCCTCGCACACTTTTCTCACCCCCACTTCCCCCACCCCCCCTCGCGCCCCTCGTCGCCCCTTCACCCCCCCCCCTCGCACTTCCCCTTCACCCCCCCCCCCTCGCACACTTTTCTCACCCCCACCCTTCCCCCTCGCCCATCACCCTCGCACACTTTCTCACCCCCCTTCCCCTTCACCCCCCCCCCCCCGCGCACACTTTTCTCACCCCACTTCCCCTTCACCCCCCCCCCGCACACTTTCTCACCCCCACTTCCCCTTCACCCACACCCCTCGCACACTTTTCTCACCCCCATCCCCTTCACCCCCCCCCTCGCACACTTTTCTCACCCCCACTTCCCCTTCACCCCCCCCCCCCCTCACTTTTCTCACCCCCCTCCTTCCCTTGCAGCCGAACTGGGCGACTACAACATCGACGAGCACGGGAGCACCTACCTGGCTGACATGAGGCTCGTCCCCAACCAGAATGATGAGCTGGAGAAGAAAATCATAGAGCTACACAAACTGCATAAGTAGGTTTGGTTTGTGGGTGGGTTGCACGGGTTGTGTGGTGGGTGATACACAAACTTATAAAGGAATAAAGGAATTGTGGGAGGGTTGTGTTGGTTGTCGAGGCTTTGGTTGTGGCGGTGGATACACAAACTGTATAAAGGGAATTGAGTGTGGATGGGTTGTGGTTGTGGGTTGATAGTGATAATTGTTAGTGATGGTAATGGTTGTATTCTTATAATGCTGGTGTTAGTGATAGTTATGATTATGATCATAATGGTAATGTTGATGATATTTATAAAGGTAATGATAATGGTAATGATAATAACAATGATGACGATGATCATGATATTTCATTTATGATGGCAATATTAATAATGCTACTACTACAACAATAAAATCTACTGCTACTACTGCTGCTACTGTCACTACAACTGCTATTACACTACTACTGCTACTTCTACTACTACTACTACTACCACTAGTAATAATAATAATGGTGATAATAATAATGATAGTGATAATGATGATAATGATAATAATGATGACGATGATAATGGTAGTAATGACAATAATGATTATAATAATAATGACAATAATAATGATTATGATAATACTGAAGATTATATTATGTGAAGCTTGGTTGTTTTGTGATAAGAAGACGGCTAATGATTATGTAAATTATAATCTTGATATTAATGATTACAGTAGCAATGATGATTATGGTGATTATGATCGTGATATTTTTTTGATATTGCTGGTAGTAGTGATAATTGTGATGTTAGGAGGCATGGCAGTGATATTAATGGCAATTATATAATGATGATAATGAGGATAGTGATGGTTACAGGCAGACAGACGGATAGACAAACAAGCCAACACACAAACAAACGAAAAAACAGAGAGAGAGAGAGAGAGAGAGAGAGAGAGAGAGAGAGAGAGAGAGAGAGAGAGAGAGAGAGAGAGAGAGAGAGAGAGAGAGAGAGAGAGAGAGAGAGAGAGAGAGAGAGAGAAGAAAGAAGAAAGAAAAGAAAGAAGAAAGAAAGAGCCAAGAAAGAAAGAAAGAAAGAAAGCGAAGAGAAGAGGAGAGAGAGAGAGATACAGAAACAGAGTCAGAGACCGAGACAAAAACAGATATAGAGATAAATACAATGACAGGCAGATAGACAGAGAGACCGAGATCGAGTCAGAGTCCGAGAAAGAAAAAGAGAGTCAGAGAAAGAGAGAGACTCAGAGAAAGAGGAAGAGAAAGAGAATCAGAGAAAGAGAGAAATTGCGAGATTGAGAGTCCGACGAAGTTTGAGACTCAGAGAGAGAGAGAGAGAGAGAGAGAGAGAGAGAGAGAGAGAGAGAGAGAGAGAGAGAGAGAGAGAGAGAGAGAGAGAGAGAGAGAGAGAGAGAGAGAGAGACAGAGACAGAGACAGAGACAGAGACAGACAGAGACAGACAGAGACAGAGACAGAGACAAACAGACAGACAGACAGACACAGACACAGACACAGACACATTCACAGAGAGGCAGACAGAGACAAACAGCCGACAGACAAACATCTAAAGAAATTTCAATAGACTGACATACCAACAGATATAGATACCGAAACATCGAGATACCCAGTCGGACACCATAAATAAGCACGTCCCCCCCTCATAACTCTCCCGAGGCTCATTTTCTGTAATCGCTTTTGCCGTCGCTCCGTTTTCTATTGCCTTCCTGTCTCCGCAGAGGGCAGACTCCAGCAGACGCAGAGTTCAATTTCTTAGACCATGCTAAGCGGTTAGATCTCTATGGCGTCGACCTGCACAAAGCCAGGGTAAGTTGGTTGTTTTTATCTTTTTTGGAATGCTTCTTTAGTTGAGGTTTATATTTTCTGTGTGTGGTTAAGGATTTTGTAAAGTGAGTGGGGTTAAGAGCGAAACTTATTTTCGTTTTTAGGACGTTTTTTTTTTAGTCGAACTTCGGTATTTTGACTTAACGGAGTTGCGTGAAGTTCATTAGTCAATATTAAGTAAGTTTTATGTGTAATGTAAGTTTCTTAAACTGAATTCGATACATAAATCGAGAATAGTGTTAGGAATTCTGAAGTTTGTCGAAACGAAGAATTAGTTATTTTTGTTTATTTCGAAACCTCGCATTGTTCAAGTTCAATTCTAGTAAGGTTTATCATTTGTGAAACGCCTTTATCTCCCCTCGTCTGTTACTGTATTTTAAGGATATTTACAGTGTATTGTGTGTATAATTTAAAACCGCTTATGTCGGTCTGCTCTGCAATTTCAAAACAGCTGTCAGATTCTGTGGAGCATCACCTTAGTCTGCCTTAGTCTGAGAGAGGTTTTAAGTTCTATTTTCTGTATGTCAAAACGTTTGCAGATAATTAGATCCCTAATTGAGCTGAATTTATTGCAAGGGCTCTTTGGTTAAGTCACATGGTAAATAATGCAAAAAGTAAATGTAATGACATACTTCATCTTAATGTTCATGATTCATCTTTAAAAAAAAACTTAACTTTCAGTGTAGTTCCAGACAGCTTGTTGGCGCAGAGAAGGGTTTTTCTCGCTAAGTATTTGCAAACTATTTTTTTTTCTTTACTTTATGTCTTAGAGTTATGCAAAGTTGGTTAAAGTTTGTGAAGTCATTTTTAATACTATATTCTTTTCTTTTTTACTTCATTATGTCATATATTTGACATAACAGAACTACATTTGCACAAAAAATATGTTAATTGAATTGTTATTAAGAAAAAGGCTTGGGCGGTCTGTCATATATTATTTTGAAAGGTTGTGCCTCTTTATTTTTATTTTTATTTTCTTCTGGAGATTTGTAGGAATAGTAAGTATCATAATATTATTATATGTGTACTTATTTTGAGCTGTGTTTGATGTCATTGCTTGGTGAATTTTTATTCTTTAGATACAGTCGTGTACTTCTGTTGTGGTGATTACTTTTTTTAAGATGTAATAATGGAATGTCTCTAATAAAATGGATATGTAGCCAATAATTTGAAGTAACAGCTCAAAGAGTAAAGTAATATGACCATGTATACCTCTGCCATGGCAAAGACCAACTTCCACAATACATTTATTTGGTGATAGAATTTGGCTTGCTAGTCTCTTTGTCATTAAATCATCAATGAGGTCTACAAATTCTGTTTTGCTAATATATATGTGATGGAGGTTTAGTGGCCTGTGCTGAAGTGCAGATGGGTGTGGAGGCTGTAGCAAAATCTTGACATTGTGTTAGTTGCTGTCAGGATTGTTGCTGTAGTTGGATCTTTTTAAATGATTGACTCCTATCAGAAGCAGTCCACTAACGCAGAAGTCATAAGGATCAGCAATATGGCAATTTTGGTGCTTTTCTATTCTGTCCTTTTTTCTTTTGTATTAAAGTTTCACTCTATTTCAAAATAATAATTTTATGTGCCTTTTTCAGTTATCTTTATTTATATTTCACCACAGAAAAAAAAATTCAGTCTTCTCTTATGAACTCTATTCCTCCTGCAGGACTCAACCAACCGCGAGATACACCTGGGTGTAACTGCGATAGGTCTGGTGGTGTTCCAGAATGGAATAAAAATAAATACCTTTAGCTGGGCCAAAATTGTCAAGATCTCGTTCAAGAGGAAGCAATTCTTCATTCAACTTCGAAGAGGCTTGGTAAGAATTGATCATTCACATTTGTTACATATTAATTGGTATTGCTAGTATTATTTTTATTTTTTTAATGTTCTCTTTTTTCCCTGTGTCTGGATTGGAGTGTTCTATCTTGGTTATGATTTATTGTTTTTTTCCTGATGGAAAGAAAGTTCTCAGCATATCTTAATTAGGATGAATGATAAAACATTATTGTAATCAATATTGTACCAGCACACTCTTTAATCATGGAAAGAGTAGTTATTATACATTGTTGTGTTTATGTTTCATATAGACAGACCAGACTGACAGTAAACCCGACCCAGGTTCATTTCTACAAATTGTCAAGAAAAGACTCTATAGAAAGGTAGTAAGCCAGTGTAACTGGGGCCCAGGTGCTCTGCTTGGTAAAGTAAAGATTGGTGGTCAATCAGATGTTTTGAGTTGGAGGTGATGATCTTTGTTTGTTTTTTATTTATGTATATATTTTCTTATTTGTTTATTTTGTTTCTGTCACAGAAAATAAGGCTTATGTACCCACCTCTGACTCAGTATATCTGGTGAACCCATGTTTGATTTGAATTTTTTTGGAATGATTTTTGATGATCAGCCATTTGTGACAGGTGTCAAGCAACTAATATGTGAGAAATACCTACTAAAAAGGCATGTTTTTTGGTATAAGAGAATGTAGGCTGTCCCCTTGTATACACAGCAAGTGTTGGGTAATTTGCCGAGGGCAGTGTTGTGTTAAAGTTGTATGGATTTTATAAAACGTTTCTGGTGAGAATTATGTGTTTAAACTATAAATAGAAAACATCCTAATCTGTCTTTTTTGTCCTTTACTGACATCTGTGGTCTTGAGTGTTAATCATTTCTCATAAAGGTGGCTTGCAGGTGTGGTGCATTTTGTACATACCTTAATCTAATGACACTGCTTTGGTATCACTTCTGTTCTTCACCTGTGGTTAACAATGATTTTTATCAATAAGCAAGAGTTTCTTGTATTGATTGATATTAGCTGTTCAAAATGCTGATTAAGATTATTCTCAGGATTTAGAAACTATGCTGATTATACTTATGATTTGTTTTTGTTTTTTATGAATTCTGATTTTTAAAGTTCTTTTTATTCAGGGATATTATTCATATAGTTGTCTGCATCCACATTTCTTACATGTACACTATTTTAGATGCTATGTGAGGAGCTGTAGTTCCAATTAGCAAATTGCTGATGGAAATATACATTATAAATTATCCATGTTGTACTTTGGGGGGGGGGGCAGTGAAAAGATTTCAGAAATAGTATTGATATATGGCTTCTTCATGTATTCCTCGATATTGTTTATACCTGTGTTGTCAAGGTGACACAATTGATTATTGAAAGAACAGAAATGTTAACCCAGATGTGAAAACTATACCTCTTTTTATTATAGTGATATGGTATGAAATTTCAGACTACTTTGAACTCTTCCATTCACTTTAAGTTATAGTTATTGCAGATACCTAAAATATTTTAATTCAGATATTGATATGATGATTATAATGCTGAAGAATTGCAGTGTAAAAAATCATGGAGATAACTAAGTATGTATCAGTCATAGTAATTTATACTGTATACCAGTGTTCACCTCCTTACTGAGTAATGTCTGAGGTTGTCATGTTTAATATATATGTATAAATTACTTTCAGAGAGTAAAATCTCGGTCTCATATGAAAAGTGCTTTAATGTTGAAAAAAATCCTGATTTGAAGTAATATGCTGAGTTGATAGTGTCTAAAAAGTCATTTGTTACTGATTTAAACTTAATTTGTTGATATTATTATTTTCATGTGAGGTAAAGTAGAAGAAATTATGATGGTAAAAAGCATGGATGTTGTGATTTTTCATTGTCTCCATTTTTGATTTGCTGAGTAGATACGAAATAAGGATAATTCCCACATTCCTGCAATTAAATTACTGTATTTTGTTATGAATTGACTTATACATCAATAAGTGTCAAATTATTCCCAAATCAAGGCACTTCAGTAAATAAAGAGCAAGTAGAAAATTAATATATATATATGTGAAGTTATATAATAGAGTTTTCTTATTATTATGATTTCCAATTGATTTAGTTATCCTGCCATCCAACCTTTAGATGGATATACCAGATAAGGCATGTGGATATTCTAATTTTGAGACCCCCTTTCCACTGAATGATAATCATAAGGAACATGAATGTGTTGATAGTCTTATTTCATTACAACAGGTGACTACTTGGGTTTGTGCAGTTTGTTTAATGAATGACTAAAGATCTTTACTAGTTATGTTGTTCATGGTCATGTACATAGATCTGTGTGATATCTAATATTTAATCTGCCTTGACTGTTGCCGGCTGCTGTAATGAAGAGCATTAATATATATTTGGTTAGGCTAATGATAAAGTCCATCAGGAGTGATAATAAGAAGCAGTCGTATAGGAAACAAAATGATTTGTAAAAGAATATATATTTGAAAAAGAATATATTTAGGTGTGAGATATATATACTCTTTTTTTTGTTTGTTTGTTTGATTTGAACAGAATATCAAATTTTCCCTCTTTATGGTTAATGCTCTTTACACTTCCATTTTCCTACAGTCCGAGAATTATGACAGTGTACTAGGTTTCAACCTTGGCTCCTACCGGGCGTGCAAGTGCCTCTGGAAGTCTTGCGTTGAACACCATACCTTCTTCCGTCTTCACACTCCAAGGACCCCGGCCAGAAAGTAAGTATACTTGTATTCTTTATCTCTTTTCTTTTCTGTTGTTGTCTTGTTGTCTTTTTGTTTTCTTTGCATTTTGACTATTTTTCTGCCTCTCAGTTCCCTTTTTTTCTGATCTTTTCATTTTCAGTATTGCTTTTGTTTTTTCTCTGTCCTTTTTCCTATTTTTGTATCTTTTTTCCAAATTTTCCTTTTCTTTTTATTGTCCTTGCCTTTTTTTCATTTTTCTTAAATATTTGTTTTGAATAGGATATTTTTAATCTTTTTACAATTTTTTACTCTAGAACATGTTAGTTATAATAGAAGAAGGGGCATTTCTATGCGTAGCATGTGGAATTTATGACTGTGATTTAATAGGTAGTGGTAAAGGAAGATATTTTGTGCACCATTATGTTTATGAAAATTATGAGGGTAATTCAGAATTTGATAGAGATAATAAACTTCTGTAGACTCCTTTGTTGTTAGTGAAATTTTAAAGAATTTAATGCTATTTATGACATTCAGATCTCATTGAAATTCCTGATTGAAATGGGGCTAGAATATGTCATCATAAATATGTGTCACTGTTATGGTTTGAGAGTTAGTGTGAAGTTGTCATACCGTTTTTATAGAATTCAGAAGGCCAGCGTTTTTATGGTTATTTTAATCATATCCAAACTTCACTTTCCAGAAACTTACTGACACTGGGGAGCAAGTTCCGTTACAGTGGACGCACAGAATTTCAGACAGTGGAGGAATGTAAGAGACGGGCAAGAGTGGAGAGGACATTTGTCAGGTAATTAGATTTTTCCGTTTGCTTTTCAGGTTATTTATCGGCATGGTTTTCCATTTGATATTCTGTATTTTTTGTTGTTAGTCTTTTATTTGATTACTTAATTAATTTATTTATAGATTTATTTTTATTTTTCTTTATATTTTTGTTATGTCTATGTTATCCTTATATTATATTATATGTTATAGTCCTTGCTTTTCTTTATGTTTATGCTTATATATGCACTTATATAAATACAAGCACACAGACATACATAGGTTACATACATACATACATATACACACACACACCCACACCCATACCCATACCCATACCCACACCCACACTCACACTCACACTCACACCCACACCCACACCCACACCCACACCCACACCCACACCCACACCCACACTCACACTCACACTCACACTCACACTCACACTCACACTCACACTTTCACACACACTTCACACACACTTTCACACACACTTTCACACACACTTTCACACACACTCTCACACACACTCTCACACACACTCTCACACACACTCTCACACACACTCTCACACACACTCTCACACACACTCTCACACACACTCTCACACTCTCACACACTCACACACACTCACTCTCACACACACTCTCACACACACTCTCACACACACTCTCACACACATCACACACACACACACACACACACACACACACACACACACACACACACACACACACACACACACACACACACACACACACACACACACACACACACACACACACACACACACACACACACATTTATACATGTATACATATGTATGTATATGTGTATAGGTGTACTTGTATATATATTTATACTATATTTATGTGCATGAATTTATTCATGAAGTTACATTAGATATATATATATATATATATATATATATATATATATATATATATATATATATATATATATATGATATATTCTATTTGATATGATTATGAATAGATATTTTACTTATATAATCTTCAACTAACTTTCACTTGATTCTAGGTCTCCGTCCAAAAGGTTTGCCCGCCAAACAGTGCCGACCCCGAGTGACATCAGCCGCAAACCTCGGTCGGGCTCGGGATCTTCGGTTAGGCCAAGAACCGACTCCTCAGGGTACAAAGTTACTTCCCTCCAGGGCACCAAGACGCCGAAGATGGCATGGGGTGAAGCACAAACACCAGACACGTGAGTTTTTGCTATTGCTTATGTCGAGACCCACATTAAGAAAAGCATTTTTTTTTTTTTTTTTTTTTTTTTTTTTTTTTTTGTAGAGAGTGATTGTGCAGTTTGGTTAACAGTCTATTACTTTTGGGTTCCATTTATTTTCCATTGTATTTACCTTTTATTCTTTACTAAGATGTGTATGAAATCTGAAAGTCATACCATGAAATGCCAAAAATGTCTTATTTTTTAAGATATAAGCCAAGGCCTTTTTTCAAATATGAGAATTAGTGTATGTCAATACATTTTTTATTTTTTGCGTGTGTTTTATGGAGTCTGGTGTAAAATACTGTTGTTGGTTTTCATCAGTCCCTGTTTCGAGTGCCTCTAAGTACCTTAGAAATATGAGTAAATGTGTAAATAGTAATGATTTAGTACATCTACCATCCTAAACGTTTTCCAGCAATTATTTTAACTTTTTCATAAATCAGTATGACCATGATGTATGCAGTAAGAGGTACCTTGTAAAAAAGACATTTAAAGTGTGGTTTATGAAGTTTAAAGGATGGTTCACATGAAGTGTAAAATTAGCTGTCTTTTGATCAAAAGATTATATGAAAGAAAAAATTTATCTGTCATCTTTGTCTAGGAAATTTTCTATTGTTAAGGATTTTTAAAAATGTATTTGTTTCTCCTATTTTCTTTTCTGAAATCAAAAGTAGCCTGTAACCAGAATTGTCTTCTGATTATAGTCTTGTAAAATATCTAATAAAGAAACTGGAGAGGAAATGTTAAAAATGAGGCACAGAATATACAATTTTTCTTATTTGTTCTAAAGATTATGGACAGGCTTATTGTTTGGTTTTGTTGTCTCAATTTTTGTTCTTTCATGGTTCATGTCACTCATTTATTTAATTGAGTGACTCAGTGATGCTAGGCTTCTATTTTTTCATTCTAATTGTACAGCCTCACTGAATTTTTATAGTCTGATGTATCCAGGATCTGTATGTGGATTCAGTTCACCACTAAAATCTAATCAGTTAGTTCTTGAGCCATGACCAGTTTACCCCCCAAAAATCACAAAGATTTTGTGTGTGTCATAACATATAACATATCCATGAATTAAAGGTGCTTGGTAACCGTGAAATAAATTTATTCCATCCATTATATATATATCAATGCTTACTACCTTGCTGGAGATAATTACATGTTGTAAACTATGAAGATAAACTGTGCAGTCTGATATCTTTTGATTTTCAAGCATGTAAATCTGCTGAAAACGTTCTCTTCAGTACTATTCCTTGGCTGTCAAGTTTCTAGGTCAAGCAAGTAATTCAGTCTGCAATAACAGTTATTGCAGATGTTAGTACAGTGTCATCCTGTTTTATTTGATCATTTTATGATTATATTTGTGTAAGAGTGAGGAAGAGGAGAGAAGAGGAATGGGGAGAGGAGTGGAATGGAGTAGAATAGAGTTAAATGGAGTAGAGTGGAGTGGAATAGATTAGGATGTAGTAGAGAGGATAGATGAGACGAGAGTTGAGTAGAGTAGAGGAAAGGAAAGGAAAGGAAAGGAGAGCAGAGAGGAGAGGCAAGGCAAGGGAAATGGAGTGAAGTGAGGTGAAAGGAAGGGGAGGGGAGGGTAGGCAAGGCAAGGAAAGGAAAAGGAAAAGGAAATTAGAGTATAGGAAGGGAAAAGGAAGCTTAGGGAAGTGAAGGGAGGGGAAGCCTGTGAAAGGAAAGGGAAGCACAGGGAAGGGAAGGCAAAGCAAGAAAGGGAAGGCAGACGATGAGAAAGGAAGGCAAACGCAGAGAAGGGAAGAGAAATGCAGAGAAAAGAATAGAAAGGAAAGGAACGGAACGGAAGGGATAGGAAAAAGGAAGGGAAAAGAAGAAAAAATAACGAAAAAACAAAGAGAAAAAAATTTCTGCTGTTGATCGAGTGGACCCTCCTTGAATAACAGGTGTGAAAATGTATATGTAATGTGTATGTGTGTGGTGTGTGTGTGTGTGGCGTGTGTGGTGTGTGTGTGTGTGTGTGTGTTGGCGTGTGTGTGTGTGTGTTGCGTGTGTGTGTGTGTGTGTGTGTGTGTGTGTGTGTGTGTGTGTGTGTGTGTGTGTGTGTGTGTGTGTGTGTGTGTGTGTGTGTGTGTGTGTGTGTGTGTGTGTGTGTGTGTGTGTGTGTGTGTGTGTGTGTGTGTGTGTGTGTGTGTTTGTGTGTGTGTGTGTGTGTGTGTGTGTGTGTGTGTGTGTGTGTGTGTATTGCGTGGTGCGTGCGTGCGTGCGTGCGTGCGTGCACGTGTGTTTACAGGGCGGTGCGGATGCCCAGCTCTCGAGGGGAAACACAGCCATGTTATCGCAGGATGACAAGGATGCGTCAGCTGTGACTCGACGCAGCAGCTGATTGCTCTCCTGCTTCCATGACTCGGGAATCCTTTTGGGGAGATTTCGTGGATGACAAGGACTCTCCCTTTCAACGGTGGATTGTTGGCCGCCCGGGTGTGTTGATGTGGGTCGTAGGGGTTGATGTACTTTGTGGTCTTGGGGATTTGTGTGGGTGCGGGCGTGAGTTTGTGTGTGAGGGGGGAGGGTATGGGTATGGTATGAGTAAGGGGTTTGTGGGTGTGGGTGCGAGTGTGAGTTTGGGTGTGGAAGCGAATGTGGGTTTGGGTGTGGGTGAGTGTGGGTGTGAATGTGGGCGTGAGTTCGGGTGCGGGTGTGGATGTGTGTATGTAGGTGGTGTGAGTATGTGTGTGTGTGTGTGTGTGTGTGTGTGTGTGTGTGTGTGTGTGTGTGTGTGTGTGTGTGTGTGTGTGTGTGTGTGTGTGTGTGTGTGTGTGTGTGGTGTGTGTGTGTGTGTGTGTGTGTGTGTGTGTGTGTGTTTGTATTTGTGTGTGTTCATGATTACGCACGTGTTTGTTTACACTTGTGTTTATATCCGTGCTTATGTGCTTATTGATACAGTGACTTCCCCAAGAGCTTGGGATTATCCGAGGTTTATTCCGTTCTCATATGTTTTCGAAGCTGACGTTGTCTATATCTAAAGAAAGTACGCGCATTGTCTTCTCAGCAACCTGCTCGATGTCTTCATGCCTACGTGGTCGGTTGAACTCCAAGGCCGGGAGCGCGCTTGGAGGAATGCCTGACCCAATCTCGCTCCTCACGTGCTTCCCTCACTCGGCTCCCTCACGTGCTCTCTTCTCGGCTCACGTGGGCTCCCTCACTCACGTGCTCTTCTCGGTCCCTCACGTGGGCTCCTCACGTGCTCTCTTCTCGGCCCCTCACGTGTTCCTCGGCTCCCTCACGTACTCTCTCTTCTCGGCTCCCTCACGTGCTCTCTTCTCGGCTCCCTCACTCTTTCTCGGCTCCCTCACGTGCTCTCTTCTCGCTCGGCTCCTCACGTGCTCTCTTCTCGGCTCCCTCACGTCTTCTTCTCGGCTCCCTCACGTGCTCTCTCTTCTCGTGCTCGGCTCCCTCACGGTGCTCTCTTCTCGGCTCCCTCACGTGCTCTCTCTCTTGCTCGGCTCCCTCACGTGCTCTCTTCTCGGCTCTCACGTGCTCTTTCTCGGCTCCCTCACTCGGCTCATTCTCGGCTCCCTCACGTGCTCTCTTCTCGGCTCCCTCACGTGCTCTCTTCTCGGCTCCCTCACGTGCTCTCTTCTGTGACGTCTAATTGCCTGCTGTAACGCGTGTGACGACCGTGTGATGTTACAGTTATTTCAGGTGGATGGATGTGGTTAGTTGCTGTTGGTGATGGAGGTGGATGTTATATTTTCTATTTGTTTTTTCTTTTTTTTGTTTTGTTATTTTTAGATGGGAGTTAGATGGATTCATTGTTGTGTCTGGGCATTATTGTTTTGCTGTTGTTTTTACTGCGTAGACTGTAGAGAAATTTATTGATTGGCTCATAGATTTATAGATAGATAGTTAGGCTAGATAGAGAGATAGAGAGATAAATAGAAGAGAGAGAGAGAGAGAGAGAGAGAGAGAGAGAAGAGAGAGAGAGAGAGAGAGAGAGAGAGAGAGAGAGAGAGAGAGAGAGAGAAGGAGAGAAATAGATGAATAAAGATAAATACAGATAAAATAAAATAAAGATAGATACAGAATTATGGAAACAGGTTGAAGGGAAGATGGATATAGGTGTATATAGGGATACGTGATATAGACATGTATTCATGTATACAGAAGTAAAACAAAAACAGTTAAAGAAAAAGAAATCTAAATACATCGAAAGGAAGAAAGTGGAAGGTAAATAAGATAAAGAAATGGAAATAAAAAGAAAGTAAATAGAAAAGGGAACGAAATGCACTTGTTGACGTCATATCTACCACTCCCACTCTCCTCCCTCCCCTACCCTTCCTCCTCTCCCTCCCCCACCTCCTTCCTCCTCTCCCTTTCCTCCCACTCTCCCTCCCCCCCCCTCCCCTCCTCCTCTCCCTCCCTTCCCCTCCCCTCCCCTCCCCTTCTCTTCCTCTCCCTCCTTCCCCCTCCGCCTCCCCTTACCATTCCTCTCTCCTCCCCTCCTCTCCCTCTTCCCCTTTCCTCCTCTCCCTCCTTCCCCTTCGTCTTCCCCTCTCCTCCTCCCCCTTTCCTCCTCTCCCTTTCCTCCTCTCCCTCCTTCTACCCTCCTCCCTCCACGTTCCCCTCTCCTCCTTCCCCCTTCGCCTTCCCCTTCCTCCTCCCCCCTCCTTCCCCTCCCTCCTCTTGCCTTCCCTCTCCCTCCTGCCCCTTCGCCTTCCCCTCTCTCCTCTCCCTCCTTCCCCTCCTTCCTTTCCCCCATCTTGTTGGGAGTGGCGGGAGAACCGGAAACCGAATCTTATGCCGTTCTTGCCCGGAATCTTGCGAAATGGAAGTTTATGGGGAAATGATGGATAATGCGTAAGGGTTTTTAGGGGGAGGGGGAGGGCGAAGGGTAAGGGGTAAGGGGGAGGTGAGATAGGGGGAAGGGGGAAGGGGAGAAGGGGAGAGGGGGGAGAAAGAGGTGAAGGCGAAGGGAGGGAAAGGGGAGGGAGGAGGAGAGAGGG